CTACGCCGGCCAAGATATCCAGCGCATTACTGGACCCGACCTTTTCTCCAAGATTGTGCCCCTGGCTGTGACGGAATCGGCCAGTCTTTACGATGAGGAGAAGGCCAAATTGATCAGAGCTGAGACGGAACGAGTGGACACGGCGAACAGCGAAATGGCAGCAAGTCTGGACTACTTGAGACTTCCCGGCGCTCTGCAGGTTCTCAAAGGTGGCGTCGATCAAGAAATCATGCCAGATGAAGAGTTCAGGACTTGGTGTGAGGATGTTGCGGGGCATGAAGATCCCGCCGCCATTTTCGATATCTTGAGATCCGACAAGGATATCATTGTGAACACACTGGATAAGAACACGAAACAACTGGATATGGAAGAAAGTGTGTGCGAGAAGATGCGATCCAAATACGAGAACGAATGGACCCAGCAACCGAGTTCGAGATTAACATCAACTCTGCGAAGCGATATCAGGAACTACCGAGAAGCGTTGGAAGAGGCAGCGAGAAGCGACAATCAACTAGCGGCAAAATTACGGCAAAATGAAGTCGAATTCGAGGAGATGAGGGCGGCAGCCTCCCACGGAAGTATCGAGTCCCTGTTTCAACATGCCGTCAGCAAGGTGCGCGGAAAATCGAGCAATGTTACGAGTCCTTTGGGCAACGAGCCAAACCTGCTGGATGTCGACTTTGACGAAGGGGGCCCGAGTGTCGTTGACCAAATCCACAAAGTGGAAGAGATCATGAAGAAGTTGAACCTGATCAAAAGAGAACGCAATCAAGTGTTGAAAGACCTCAAGGAAAAGGTTTGTTCATTGAAGTCCTTGCAGAAAGCCGAACAATGCACTAACATCCGTAGGTTCACAACGACGACATCTCGGAAATTCTGATTTTGAACAAAAAGTCAATAACCAATTACGAGAACCAACTCTTCCAGTCAGAGTTGGAAAAGTTCCGGCCATACCAGAACAGATTGCTACAGGCAAATCACAAGCAGTCCGCCTTGATGAAGGACTTGACAACCAGCTTCAACACACTGCTGCAGGACAAGCGGGTCCGTTCGGAGCAGAGCAAGTACGAGACAGTGCAACGCCAAAGGACATCGGTCATGAACAAGTACAAGCGGGCGTATCAGGAGTTCCTCGACCTAGAGGCTGGTCTTCAAGGTGCCAAGACTTGGTATGCTGAGATGAAGGAGACCGTACAAAGCCTTGAGAAGAACGTCGATACGTTCGTCAACAACAGGCGGTCTGAGGGGGCTCAACTCCTCAACAGCATTGAGCAGGAGCGGTCGACTCGTAAAGACGCACATGCTGAGCTGGAGCGCGAGCGTCTGAGGGGTTTGATGGAGCGTATGTCCATGGAGCCTCCTGTGTCGTCACCCAAGCCCGCCTCGAACCGGCCAACGCCGTCGCCTTTGAACTTCGCCAACAACTCGACTCCGCGATACCCCCAGACCAACTTTTCGGGTCAGTACCAAGTCCCTCAGTCTCCGCCTCCGAACCAGCAGCAATACCCGAGCTTCGCCGCCCCTCCCACCTCGCAATCTTACACGCCTCAGCCGGCGAATACATACGGCCAGCCAGCATACAATCCGAGTCAGTACGGCCGCACTCCCGGCCCAACATCACCGCCTCCCCACCAGTCCACTTTTGGCCCAACTGTCTTGCGAGGCCCGGCTTCGCCCCCGCCAACGCAGACCTCATTCAATCAGAACCAGCAGTACGGCAGTTTCCCTAACCCACAGCAACAACAGCAACAAATGCCTGCCGGGTTCGTTCCGCCGCCTCCGCCTCCTGGTCCTCCACCATTGGGCCCTCAGCAGACTTTCTACGGCCAGCAGGATTACCAACAGCAGCAACAGCAACAACAAAACTATCCGCAGCAAAACCCACAAAGTGCCTACCCTTCTAGTGCGCACCCACGGTCAGCTCAGCCTCAACAGAACAGTGATCCTTGGGCGGGATTGAACAACTGGAAATAAGAGTGGCTGGAAATGACGAGCCGCAAGTTGAGGACGTTGATGACACTTCAAGTGGTGGTAGCTTTCGCGCGAAGCACGCAACTGAGAGTTGTGTAGCTGCTTAACATCTAAGACGAGCGAGTGTTGGTTGCAGGCAGGATGGTACCACAAAATCAATGGTTCGAGTAGGCCTAAGGCGTGATGAGGCTTGCTGGTAGGCACGACAGACTAGCAAGACATCTTGAGAGGGGGCTTATACATAGACCAAACAACCAACCACAATTGCATAAAGTAACATCCCATTTATTGATGTGACGGACTGCCCAGGTAGTCTGAGATAGGTTTTCATCACCTCGAGCTCCCAGATTAGTGCATGCCCACCCAACCATGGGTAAAGTAAACTCTTCGTTCGAACTATCAGAAATGCCCAAAAATTAAAAAAAAAAAAAAAAAAAAAAAAAAAAAAAAAAGAGTTCACCCCCCCGGTGGCGAATGGGGACTACATCTCTGGTGCTCATGCTGGGACTCGAACACGGGACCTCTGAGCCTTCACCGAGTAGGCTGTTCGTGGGCTTCAACCACTCCGCCAACCAGCCAGTTTTGACCTGACCCCCGAGGGGGCGCCTGCTGGCTGGTGACTGGAACGGAGGTGAGGTGGTATATATGGGATTATTGTGTGTTCAGGGAGAAGGTGCGATCAGTGAGGTACCTGCTAAGAGTGAGTTAAGGTGGCTCACGATGAGTGGATGGATAGAGCGGTGAACCAGCACCTCGTTTATACGTCTAGGAGAGGTTTCGACCATGGTCTACCTTTTCCGAGGCGAGGGTATGAGGAGAGGATATGAACAGCAGCTGAAGTGTATATGGCGTCGTGGTGGATTGGTTGAGAGGTGGTAGGAGACTGCGAGTTGGAGCTTCGCGGCCCTTCCTATTGCAAGCCTCCATATCTATCCAATTATTTCGGGCTTATATCTCAATCCTGAGCCAAACCTCCAGCCGCCGCATCGCCGGACTCTTGATTCTCGGACCTTGTCGCGGGTGGAAACTTTGGCGTCCCATTCGCGTCCGTACCCCAGCCGCCGTACCCGGTCTCGGCCATCATACCACCCAGGCCCGACGGGCTACCGGTCGTGATGCTCCCCGCCGCCCTGTTCCCGCCCACGCCGGGACGATCTGCCGCCCACCCGTTCAGAGTGTCTTTGCTCATGCCGGTGTACTTTAGGACGTCGGCGTCTGAGATTTCTCCTCTTTTGGAGTCTTGGAATCTGCGGTACAAAGATTTCTTTGGCGCGGGGCTGGTTTGAGACTCGCTTGTGGGGTCGTTGTTGATTAGAGGCTTGGTGCTGTCGGTTTTGGAGAGGCGAGAGAACATGGTGAAATTAGTTGTGAGGATTTTGGCTGACTTTTTGGAGAGGAACTTGGAGTGTAGAGGGTGGTAGATAACACGCTGAGTGGTGAGAGGTAGTCAAAGAGACGAAGTGGCGGAATTGATGTACAAATGTCTACTTGGGTTGTTGGAAGTCGGTGTAGTTGCTGCTACTTATGCATCTGGTGAGCCCTGAGCCTTTGACACATGAGAATTGGATTGCATCGATCTAACCAGTTGTAGGATATGGAACCGTTGCCTCATATTACCCCACCCAAATAAGGTATTCACCTGCCCAAAGAAGCTTATTTCCTTATGGGTAAACCTTGAAGTGATTGCAAGCGTAGTCCGTATAAGTCCACGAACGGCGCAAGGGTATGATCACTCATTCACCATCAAGAGCTGAAGTCAAAATGAACTCACGGGTACAGTATCCTGGCTTGAATCTGCAACATGTTCTCATCAGAGACTTTCTGAGGTCCGCCGTGAGTGCGCTGAAAGTTTGGTTTGACACTATGAATCCGGTTTCCTTTCTCTGTATGAGCATGCCTACCCATCTCAGTGATCCAGGAGAAAGCGAGCATGTTGCTAAGACCTTGAATAGAATCTGGGTCGCTCCAAGAATTGGTTTCCAGATTCGGGTTCAAGGGCGCTGTTGAGACCCTCAGAAGGGCCGATGGGTACGAGAATTGGTTGATATGATCCACAACTTCATATGCGGTCCAATTGGGACCTCTCGTGTGAAGGGTTGGTCCTTGGTTGTTGGTTACTCCCTGTCGGTCGTTGTTCTTCAGCGAAGTCTTGGCGCTAGACTACAAAGGACCCTGGAACTGGATTTTAGTATCAATGGACAGCAGACTCGATCCAAATTCTATCATGAATACCACTAGTTCATACCGTATGTAAGTTTCTGAAAAAGGGCACAGCCGGTCCAGTGGCCACTTAAGAAAGTCTCATAATGTCTGAGGAACCGTAAATGATTCCTGAGTGGAATATTGCGAGCCTTGTCCAGTCTGGCCTTGAGTGTAGGCGGCACACTTCGCGATATTCCATTTGAAGAAACAGAGGGTCTACACAGTGAAACCACCCATATAAAGATTCATAATACGCCACGGCTGTGCTCTGGGCTGCAGCTCTTACTGCCTCAAGTGCTTCTTATCATAGTTATGCCCACTAGTATCTGATAACACAGATATCCCACGTCTATCTTCCTAATAACAGGCACAGACTTTGGAAAGTCTCATTGAAGAGTACAGAGTTGAGTCTACTGATTGGGAGTTCAGTGTAGATACGACTGGAACGGGGACCTCTGTAAAGCTGAACGGTGCTGTGGAGGAGGTTTGGCTTCAGCTTCCGGCCATCTGATCGACCAAGTCAGTAATGGACTTTTTCTCCGACAGCCTTTGGAGCAACACTGCAGTCTTATTCACGTAGATCGTAGAAAGCTTTGGGTAAATTTTTAACAAAGTTTGCCCCCACAACAAACGACGAAACTCACTACATCTGCTATTCTACCTAATAGTAACTATCACAATATGGTCTCCCCCAGCTAGATGTTCTTAGCGAAAATGTCTTAGATCAAAGCCTTGGTAAAGGCGGCGGTGAAATCCCAGTGAGAATCAACTTTCACCCACAAAACAACTTGAAAACGATCTTGCGTGCGATGGGGCGCGTCCAGCAGTCATCGCAACCAGAACCCAAACGATCTGCTCCCACTCTTCCAGTCACTCTCGAAAAGCCAATCAAACATATCCGTTTCTTCATACTCGATGTCGGCCGTAGCATCTATATCGGGTGGCAAGTCCCTTCGGGGAATACCGAGGCTGATCAACACTTGCCTCTCGATCTGGAGCTCCTGTACAAGATACGCTGTCATATCCATCTCGCGTCGCCGTTTTCGATATCTGGTTCTTTGCCTCATTGCTCCGTCGATACTTCCGTATCGCTCTCTCCTTGTTTCCCAGATTATATCCTCCTTTCTCCTGGGCCGTACAAAGGCAAGCTGAGCTAAATCTGCCTTTGCTTCTTCAACAAGAAACTTGATCATAACAAGAGACGACTCAGACGAGGACCACCCGAATATTGCAGCAGACAGAATACTGCCATATTCTCCGAACTCCAAATATGCATTGACTTCAGCGCCATGTTCAATCAGTAACCGAGCACAATTCACGTCTCCCCTCCATACAGCAGCTGCCAATGGACTACCATATTTTCCAAACCTCAGCTCTGCCTTGGCGTCAGCGCCATGTTGAATCAGTGACCGAGCAAAATCCACGTCTGCCATCGATACAGCAGCTGCCAGGGGACTTCCATATTCGCCACCTTCCGGCATGGCGTTGACATCGGCTTCGCGCTCTAGGAGAAGGCGAACACATTCGGGCTCTCCAACGCGTATAGCAGCAATCAGAGGACAGCCAAAGTTCCCGTATCTGAACTGGTCGTTGACATTTGCACCGTTTTCTAGAAGAAAGCGAGCACTTTCGAGACGGCCATGGAATATGGCAGAAGTCAGGGGACTTCCATAGCTGTCTTTGAGGTTCTCCGGGTTGACTTCTGCTCCCTTGTCAAGCAGGGCTTTAATGGTGTTGAGATCGCCATTAAAAGCAGCCCTCGACAGGGCACAACCGAAACGGCACCCCCCCGATCCACCGGTATCATCGGTATTACACTTCATGTTGGGATCCAGACCATTCTCCAGTAGAATAGTGCAGCACCCAGATCCATTCTCCGCTGCCAGACAAGCCAGAGTTTGGTCTTTGAGGACGCAGTCCATGTTTGCACCGTTCTTGAGGAGCAGCTCCATGACATCGATCTCTCGTCGGTTTACTGATATCCACAACGGAGGGCCGTAATCAAGGGCGTCAAAAGATGCGTTGACGTCACAACCCCGACTGATTAGAAATTGACAGAGGTCGTAGTGGCCAAAATGGGTGGCAATTTGCAGCAGGCCCAGACCTTCCTCATTTACCAACGAGGGAAGGTCGAGGCCTTCGTTCCACCACTCAGGCAGGAACCGATGAAGTCCCATTGCCACAATGCCAAAGGCGAAGTTGGTAACTGGCCTGACCTGTTTCGACATAGGTGTGTAAAAAAGCCATTGAGCAGGTTCGATGGCGCGGCTGCAAAATACCTGATACTCCTTCGATGAACACGGAGGTCGTTCTTCGCCCAGGAATTGTTTCAAAGCAAGGGCTACGTCTTCAGCTCTGTCATCTTGTTCTGGAAGATCGTGGGTGTGTGTGAGCCAGTTCAGTCGAATGTACGCTTGAAGCGGATGACGAGGATCTAAAGGTTGGTCAAGGTCCGCTCCTCCTGCCTCGTACCAACTATCTGAATGCGTGCCACAGCCTTCCTGGAGGGTCCGTGAGTCGTCGTCGTCGTCGTCAACATCTGAGGGTGGCCAGATAGAGGAGTAAGCTGCGCAGCAATCCCTCAAGCAGTTGATCAAGACAATTGCTACCTCCGCTGGTGCGTCTTTGACCCACCGCTCTTTCTTCTTATCTTCAAAGTATTCTCTGACCGATGCATGGGAAAACCTCCAGACCTCGAGCTTGGGGTCCCTCACAATCAAATGTTGACAGACAGTCTCCAACATTTTCTCGGTGAGATCTGACTTGTCGTGAGCTTTCATGCCGTCTCCATGCATCTGTTCGCTTTCCACTTGAATGGCTGACAGCAATGTGCGACTGTCGAACGGCCGGCGGGCGCACATAACCCATCTCACCGCTCGCTGCAGCATGAAACGCTCAAAGCTCTCAGGTTCGTGTTTATCGCAAATCTCATCGTAGGCTTTGGTCAGAGTTTTGGGAAGGTCTCCAAGCCTGGCTTTGACAGTGGTATTGGTCTCGAACTCCTTGAGCTGTTCCCATTGCAGGTAAGTCCATCTGAACCTAGTTTTTTTCCAGTCAGCTTAAGTAGGTAAGGATAGTGTGGGAGCTAGAACTCACATTCCCTTGCTCTTCTTCACAAGCTTCTCTTTAACAACCTGCTTGGTTTCAGGGCTCCAGTCCACAGTGAAGTTGTCCACCTCTGTATGGACAAACTTCTCGATGTCGCCCTGATTATCAGAAGTGTTGATTATGATCGTCGCCCTCAGCTCTTGGAATGATCTCAGATGGTCACTGATATCGTGCTCTGGACGGCTGGCGATGAATATCTTCAAACAACTATTGGTTTTCTCCACTAAACGCTTGAAGAGCTGAACAATCTGCCGTCTCGTGTCTTTCTTGCACTCATCCAAGGCGTCGAGTATCAGAACAGTTCGAGGGTAACTGTTTATCATCTCTACCAACGCTGTCTCGCATTCTTGGAGCGTGATATCGCTCTGAATTTGTTTTCTCTGGTATAGGTTGAATAATGTCTCATGAATGCTCTCAGGATGACCGTTCACCTCGCCTAGTTGTCGGATGTAGCTTCGTAGAATGGATTGAATGCTTTGCCGACTCTGATCAGAGCTATTGCAGTAGAAAAAGGCGAGACCCAGGCTGTGCCCACTGTGAAATTGGAGTTTGTCGTGAATCCGACAATGATCAACTACTTTCGAAGATAGGAACGATTTTCCCGTACCGACTGCAGAACAGAGCCGTGGTCAGTTGGGAACTACACACAACAGCCCTCGGGCCTAAATACTTACTATCGCCTCGCAACCAAAACACCGGAGTGCAATCAGAGTCTTCCCATTCAAGGAATTTAGAATGGCTGACCAACCATTCGCATGTGCCCTTGGTTCTTTTTTCGACCTTTTCGTTATGATGAGATCCGACTGGAATTACACTGACGTATTCCATAGCCTTGTCTCTTTCATGCTTATCAAGCACCTTAAGAATATCCATGACATTCTTGTCGGTACGCTTGATCGGTTCTTCAAGATTTTCAAGCAATCTTCGATGCTCATCATCTGCTGTAGCCTTGCAAGGGCGAGTTGCAAGCTCAAGTTCCTGCTCAAGTGCTCTCACTGCTGATAGCCGGTTTTCGCCATAACCGGGGTCAACGAGCGCGTCGAAGAATCGACGCAAATGACCATGCTCCATTTCTTCGTAGACAAAAGCAAGAAACTCCAAGCATTTCGCGTATACTTCAACCAACTTCGTCATCAAATCTTCCTGATAAGGCGGCCTAGGCGACATGGAGTTCCCAATGTAGACCTTCTCGTACACTCTACCGCGCCTCACGAGGCAGAGGACTATGTCGGTGCATCCCATAATAGCCACAAGATCCTCACGCTCAGATACGTGGGCCTGCAAGATCATTAGATCGTAGTATTGGCAAAAGTGTATTTATGCTTTGCTGCAACACATACCGCCAGAAGCACCTTGATAGCTGACCACACGGCGTTAGAGGGCGCAGGGGCAAAGTTGATGGCAATATTTCCAATCGCAGTCACCACAGGGATAACTTTATTCGCATAATCCCTCCACAGAATCTCTCGGTCGCCGGATTTGAGCTTCAACGACTCTTGCTTGTGTTTCTCTTCGCTAGCTCGAACGAACTCCGCCAACTCACTTGCAGGATTCTGGACATTGCTCGGTGGAGGAAGACTGGCGATCCATATCTGAGTTTTCACGTTCACCTTCTTGCATGCTTCCTGCCATAAATTAACGGTTGAAGTAGAGCCGTTCAATGCAGATGGTCCTGGAACGTTGGAAGCAGGAAGGAGTGAAGGGCCATCCGCATTACCAGTAGATGATGTCGCGCGTGAGACGCTTAGTACTGGATCACGGCGTACGACCTTGGGGTCTGTAGGCTCAGACTTTCCATCGTCAGCCGATTTTGACGCTGGTAGGACATCAACACCGGTCGAAGGAGACCCGGAAACGTCATGGCGCGGTTTCTCTCGTCTCTTGAAGCAAGAGCATATGGCGGAAAGGCAACCGCCGTCGGATTGGCGGGAGTCGGTCATACCGCAGTGAAGGATGCCTCTTCCTAAGTCGCAAGTTTGTAAAGAAGCAATTCAGAAGGAGGATATTTAATAGGAAAACGTCAGGACGAAAAGAATGCATGGTCAGATGCTAACCCCTTTACCCCGTTCCCCCCTCAAGTCGAAGTTTCTGCAGCTGTCCGTTTCTAATTTTCCATGCAGCCTGGGCTGCATCTACTAAGTCTGTTGCCCATGGAATGTCTAGGTCTGACGGGCCAGGTCCTCTCCAAGACCCTATCAAAAGTTCGACTGAGCCGCTCAGGCCCCAACAGTTAAGACCTGCATCTGCAGCTGGACTCAAATAGGTTGCACTGATTGGGTCTGGAGTCGAGGTGTCCAACAGGGCCCCGCAACCTTTGAAGTTCGGGCTGGGTGTTATGCCCTCCCTATCCCCCCTCCCAGCCAATGAAGCCTTGATATAGTTCCTCTATCTTCTGCACTCGCTTGATTGCATCTGAGATCTGACCGCTTTGCCGCTGTGGGCAGATTCAAGTTGCAAATGTACTGTGGGATGGTCCTGCAGTACCCTGGGCCCATGAGCTGATAGCCTGACATGTACGAATCCTTTTGGTGAAAAATGTGGACAAAGCCAGATGGTGCATTTTAACAATCGGCTTTATCGGTTTGCGGTTATGGATGTTATTAGACATGGATTGTATTTTATAATTCATTAGTCGGTAAGGTCGGCTGTCTTTGCCACACTTCCTTGAATGTTCCTCCTGGAATTAGATCAAAATCTATTCGTAATCGCAACTGCAGGCTTTATTACAAGGTATTTCGATATATGACAAATAAGCCTTGATTAAGACATGCCATGATGCAATCTAGAATAACCGGGAAGAGTACACGTTGTATATACATAATCAGTCACCATGTCGGCAATGCCCGGGTGCAAGTTGCTTCCGAGCCAAACAATTGACTCATTGATTGGTTACAAAACGTTTGTATTTGCAATGAGGTCGGTGTATTCTATGAACTGTTGTTCATACATATCTCATTATAGCACTGCAAGTGGTCGACACCGAGAGTCTGGTTCTGCCGGAGTTTTAAAGGTTCCGCACTCTACCTTACAGAAAGGTAAGCAGTTTGGGCGGACTAGGAAGCGATCTTCAGGCGACTGCACACTAAGCGGCGTACGGGCTCTTGAGGACTGTTCTTTGCCGTTGTCAGGCTGCCGAAGGACTTGCCGCAGGGTCGTCCCGTGGTCTTGGCTCGCTTTTCATCCCATGTCAAGCCACCTCGACCAAGCCAACATCGTGCGTTGCCCGCAGACTGGCCATCGAGTTTCTGTTGTAGCATGAACTTCTCAAACAAAAATTAGGACAAAGATGCCTCGTGTCTTCTCATGGGGAAACTTTCGCCTGTATCACGGGAGGCAAGGATTTCGGAATGAACTGTTTTCTCGGAATCTGCATACGGACAGAACATTGGATATGAATACAAATACCGGTGTATTAGATTCGCATTCGAGACCAAAGTTGGCAGTTTTGCGACAAGAACCTCTCAGAGAAAAGTAAAAGACTTGTAACTGAGAAGTACTGCACATCAGCTTCGATCGTCCTAGCCAGTTGTCATGGATGAGAAATCCGTTTTGAGAAATCGCGAGAGGAGCTTCTACAAGCTTGATCTCACCAATAATCTCCCTCCTGGAACCGATAGCATAAGTCAATTTGAAGCTCATCCACGACAACCAAGGCCACCGGCAGAATCCAAAAGGCCGGTCCCAGAATGGCCACCGGAGGCAGAGAGGAAAGGGAAGTGGATATCGGCGTATCTTGACCAGGTTGGTAACAACGAAAGCAGCAATAAGATCCAAATATTCTGGAACTAATTCATTGACGTGCCATAGCTCGACCCAGAAACCGAGTACGACCGCATCATCCAGACCTCGACCTTCTTCACCGGCTCCAGCTTCGCCATCGCCATGGGCTACACCTCGACCCTCATCCTCTTGACGCAGACGCCGGCGGGCGCCTCAGCAGTCCATAGCACGGGCAAGCTCTTCCGCCGCGGCCATCAGCGCTTCTACGAGACGCAGGACCGGCTCCTCGACTGGATGTGGTACGGTAGCGCCTCCCCGCAGGCCGTCGAGGGCATCGAGAGGGTCAATAAGATCCACGCCGGTGTGTGGAAGAATGCGCCGGGGACGTTCAGCCACCCCTGGGAGGGCCAGATGTCGCTCATCGGGTCGGCGTACTTTGAGACGTACCTGAGGGACCTCGTCGGGGCGAGGGTCAGGGACATACACCCCAAGCTGGCGGCGGCGTGGCCGGCGTGGGCCGAGAGGGCGTGTGCGCACTTTCGGTCGGAGCCAGAGGACGGGTCGAGGAGCTTTGGGGTGAATTTCCCGAGGGACTGGAAGGAGCTTGAGGCTTTTCACAAGTGGTATCGGGAGCTGCCGTTTGATAAGTATACCAGTGAGGAAGAAAGAGTCAAGGGGGCTGTGATATCTAAGGGGGTTGTTGATCAGTTTGCCGAACTATGGTTTCCAAGGTACGTTTCACTGAACATCCCCGACATCTGCCAATGGCATATCTCATGAATGGGCAGGTATCTCCAATGGTTCGGCCGACAGCTGTTCCTCACCATCGTACCACCCAAGGTCCGAGAACAACAGCGCACCGGGCACCCCAACCCTTTATGGGCCAAGCTTGTCAAACTTCTCCTCAAGACACAAATCGACCTGGCTGACATCATGCCGGATCCCGCGAGGCCCATCTTGAGGGATGAGTACCATACGATCAAGAGTTGGGAATGGTACAAGATAGATGCTCAAGTGGTTGAGAAGCGGAGAAAGCAGGCGTCGCTGATCAGGACCTTACTCCTGGGGGTGCTACTGATACTTCTTGCGATTGTCCTTATGAGGGGCTGGGCAGTGGGAGGTAAGCCGGGAACGGCAATCCACGGGCTCAAGGCTAGTCTCTCATGAAAGTGAAAGCACATGTGTGGTGTTCTGGGGATCGAGTGTATAGGCCTTCGTGACTGTGGTCAACCAAAGCACCATTATCTAAGAATAAGCCGGCGAAGACGCCAGTTCAGTTCCTGACAACCCAGGAGCTGCACCCATTGATGCATACAATCGAACAATGCCTGCCCAGCTTTTTCCATAACGGCCTCTATCACACCAGTGACTGCTTCCATCATAAATAGGGATTGAAGTTGAGGAGATGTCGAGAGTGAGTGTCTGCTTACGATTTACGTGACTTTCAATACGTGTGAAACGGTGGCGACGAGCACTTAAGGGAATAGACTTTCCTGGTACCGGTCGAAAGGAACGATTAGATTAAGACTAAGTTGGCGTTGACGGCTCGAGTGGCGCATACACACGTGTGTAGTTGAGATAAAGAAGGGCCATCCCGCACCCTCCTTCGGAAGTGTAGCCGCGAGTATCCGTATCAGCAGCGGGTTCCAAGCCGAAAAGATTGCGGTTGGCGTTGCTGTCGCTGGCATGCTGCCCACGACGAACGCGTGGGTGTGCGACGGTGCGTGGGTGGGCACGGATTGCCTTTCGGGGATAGCCCGGGATGGAGACCGGTAGCAGTTTACACCGAGGAAGTGCAAGTGTGGAGGACGTCACCGACATATTACCCCGCACCCCATTGACCCGAGATGGGCCGCTAGCGCTGCACTGGAGCCAGTGTGGGGCGCGGCAGTCTGCGACGGTACAATGAAGAGCGAGCTGATGACCTTTGATGGGTTTCGCCCCCCGGCAACCGTCTCTTTTCTCCAAGTCGAATTCCCCCCCTTCAAGAGAAGATAGGTGCTTGCTTCCCCCAACATTTCTGACCTAGGAGAACTTTTTTGGAGTCCCGATTCTCGGACTGACTAGCGAGACGACACCTACATCTTTTTCTGCTCTTGGTTCCGGCCCCTAGATCTGCGTCGGCTTCTCTTCCATTACTTCTTCTGCCCGTCATTGGTGTTTGTAAAACGTGCTATTCCCGGTCCCTCTGATTTGAAATACCTTGGATTCGACTAGACCAGCAAGCAAGCCACCCATAAATCAGACACTACCCCGTGGAGAAAGATCTACCTCTTTGCCGGCCTTTACCCCGGATTTTCCAACCTGTCGATAAATTTCCAAGTTCCTTTTCTTCCCTTCGTCCGGAACAACGACAACAATCGCAACGAACAGCAGGCAAAATGGGCTTGAAGGGTGACGATATCGCGAAGCACAACAGTGCCGACTCTTGCTGGGTCATTGTTCACGTAAGTTATGATGAGGTGTCGATTCAATGTCAATTGGCAGGCAATTGACATTGGCTACCTAACAGGGCAAAGCTTACGATGTGACGGACTTCTTGCCTGGTAAGTTCTTCTACAGTACCCTCAAGTGCTTTCCCTGCTAACGACGACCCTCAGAGCACCCCGGTGGCTCAAAAATCATCCTCAAGTACGCCGGCAAAGATGCGACGGAAGAGTTCGACCCCATCCACCCGCCCGACACCCTCGACAAGTACCTCGAGCAGTCCAAGCATCTTGGCCCCGTCGACATGACCTCTGTAGTGGCTGAGGAGAAGGAAGAGGATCCTGAAGAGATTGAGCGCTTGGAGAGGGTTGAGCAGAAGCCACTGTTGTCCCAATGTTACAACCTGATGGATTTCGAGGCCGTAGCGCGCAGAGTCATGAAGAAGACGGCTTGGGGATACTACTCGAGTGCAGCCGACGACGAAATCGTAGGTCGACCCCGCAAAATCGCACCCACCAGAGGACCAGACACAATTTCTAACTGATCTTTTCTGTAGACATTGCGCGAAAACCATGGTGCCTTCCACAGAATCTGGTTCCGGCCGCAGATCCTTGTCGACGTCGAAAAGGTAGATTTCACCACCACCATGCTCGGCGCAAAGGTCGACATGCCCTTCTACGTCACCGCCACCGCCCTCGGCAAGCTGGGCCACCCGGAGGGCGAGGTCCTCCTCACACGCGCCTCCCGCAAGCACAACGTCATCCAGATGATCCCGACGCTGGCATCGTGCTCC